TATAGATTTATATTAGAGATGATTTCGGTTGAAATTTCCTCGAAGGTGGCATTAAAATGTGTTATGGTGGAAAAAAAAGATAACATTTATCTGCGTTTGGATTAAGCTGTGCTACATTTTGCCTATATTCTGCTCCACATGCTACACTTTTATCACAAAAATATGTTCTAAGTGATAGTATGTCTACACAGTTTACTTTGTTTTCATAAACTTCTGGTATTCGTTGGTAGCACCTTTTGTCTTCAAAGACATACAGTGGTGCAATTTTCTGAGAGTTCATGTATAACACCAGAGGATGTTTCCATCGCAATCAATAAAGTATGAGCGAAGACTGGAGATTAGTTATCCTATATACGGTATTTTTGGAAAAGCTAATGCTAAAGACTGTGATATTTGTGTTCGTTCTAATTCACATAAGTGATGTAGTGTTTCAAGTTCTGATAGTGTCATTTCATGAAAAAATCTACTAGTGGTCTAATCAAGTTTCATAACAAGTTGAACGTCGTAGTGAATTGCGCCAAAGTATGTGTTGATCATTAGCGATAACTCTTTTAGTCGTGTACTGTCGCGATTTTCTGGAAGGTGTTTTCCTCCGGTGCTGCCATTGTTTTTGTAAATTATGATTGGTATATAGTATAGATCATAAAATTTGATCCGATTTGGTTGTGACTTGGGGATTATGAATTTTCCTTTTTACATTTCAAATATTTTTTGTATTCAACTTGTATATCTAATTATGTGTGCGAAAAATGTTTTTTGGATATTGCATGCTAATTATTTTTCAAGAATATTGAAAGCCTGGTAATTTATTCTTTTCCTTGTACATTTTTAAATGGGTCTAGATGTGATCGTTTTCTATCAGGTGTAACTAATCAAATGGTATGGAATCTATTAGAAAAAGAAATTTTTTAATTTTGGCATGAATTTAGCAACTTGGAATATGGTGAATGTGTTTTCAGGAAACCAAACAATGATTGACTGTGGGCGTTAGGTGGGGTCGCATTTTTTTTAAAAAGTAAGCCAAATTTTTGATAAAATATGGTGTCATCTTGTAAGTCACGTGTTAATTGAACTTTTTCTAGTAGGATTTTCCAATCAAAATACATTATTTCTTGACATCCTGAGTTTTTGTGATAGCTTTACAATTTGATGGATCATTTATTCCAATATGAGGTATCCATTTTTATCGTAAAATTTGTTTTGCGTGTGCAGCGTGATAAGGGAGTTTTTTATCAAGCTATACATAACCTTGGTTTAGCTCAAATTGTGCTTGATTTGCAAAGTCTAGAAAAAGATGAAATATTCCTAACTTTCTATTATTGTCTTGGTTTGTTACAATATTTAGAAGTTTTAAATTGTTTTTAGAGTCTTCAAGACCAAAATGTAGTAATCTTTTAATATTTTTTGGTAGTATGATTCATGATTGAGTCTGTTTTGTTTCCATTTGAGACTTGAGAACAATGTACTTTCTTTTCAGAAATTTTTTCGGTTATTTTGTATTCTGAGAGAGTCTTAGCGCGGGCTTTTGAATAACGTGGTGCAATTACATTAGTTGATTCGGTTGATTGTGGTTCTGAATCACATTATGAGACTTGGTTTTTTGCATAGTTGTGTAGCGTTTTGTGTAGCGTTTCCCAATTTGAGCAAAGCCAATGTTTTATATAGCTTGTTAAAATTCCCTTATCACGGTGCACATGGAAAATAAACTTTACGATAAAAATGGATACCTCATTTAAGAATAAATGATCCATCAAATTGCAAAGCTATCACAAAAACACAGGATGTCAAGAAATAATGTATTTTGATTGGAAAACCCTACTAGAACAAATTCAACTAACACGTGAGTTAAAAAATGACACAATATTTCATCAAAAAATCCGCTTACCTTGTAAAAATCATCAAGGACATTGCGACTCCACCTCTCGTCCACAGGCAATCATTCTTTGGTTTCCTGAAGACTCAAGCACCACATTCCAAGTTGCTAAAAATCATGCCAAAATGAAAAAACTTCCAATTTTTTTTTATAGTTTCTATACCATTTGATCAGTTACACCCTGATTGAAAACGATCAAACCTAGACCCATATAAAAATACAAGGGTTAGAATAAATTAACAGGCTTTCAAATATACCTGAAACAGAATTAGCATGCAATATCCAGAACCCTTTTTTTCCACACAGTATTGAGATATACAAGTTGAATACGAAAAGGCTTCTGATATGAAAACAGGAAAAACTCATAATCCCCATATCACCTCCGAATCAAAACAAAGAGAATGATCTATCTTATATACCAGTCACATTTTACAGAAATAATGGAAACACTGGAGGAACACTCCTTCCAGAAAATCAGGACAGTAAACGACTACAAGAATTATCGCTAATGATCAACACATACTTTGGCGCAATTCACTACAACATTCACCTTGATATGAAACTTAACTACACCATTAGTAGAAATTTTCAATAAAGGTTACTATCAGAACTTGAACGCTACATCACAAATGTGAATTAGAACGAACAAAAACATTACAGTCTTTAGCATTAGCCATTCTTAAAATACCCTATGTAAGATTACTACTATCCAGTCATCGCTCAAATTTCAGTGATTGCAATGGAAACAAACTCTGGTGTTACACATGAACTCAGATAGTCTCAACACTGTATGTCTTTGAAGACAAAAGATGCTACCAACGAATACCAGAAGTTTATGAAAATAAAGTACACTTTGTAGACATACTATCAGGTAGAACATATTTTTGTGGTAAAATTGTAACATGTGGATCATAATAAAGGCAAAATGTAGCACAGCTTAATCCAAACGAAGATATTGTCAAAAGAATAAATGATAAAAGACTAATTGACAATTTATTTTAAGTTTTAGTCATGAATCATGATTGGTTAGTTCTAAGTATTTTACAGAGATAGTTATCAAGAATGTGATTGATTATAATAAATTAATAAACACTTGTTTTAAACTGGTTCCACAGCAGAGACGTTATTTATTATTAATTGATCTCAATCTTTATCTGTACAACAGAAAAAAACGAACCAGAGGAATTGCTAACGCAAACTGGCCTATCTTTTTTTTCTGAATTGAGGCACTAGAAAGAAGCTTCTTGTAGAAAAGTGGCATACCTAATTGCGTGTATCTTTAAGCCAGTAAATTGTGACTCTAAGAGAATTGTGGTACACTTAGGTTTGAAGCAATTTATCAGATGATATTTATTAATTTAGAGCTGAAGGTTCAGATAACTGTTGCCTAGTTTTCGCTCGATAATTAAATTGCTGATATAATTTTGGATATGTTAAGACTAGATTATTCAGTTTTTCAGTGAGCTCTCTCTCTCTCTCTCTCCCTCTCCCCTGGAATAGCTCGAATGTTCTTTAAAAAAATTTTAAAATAGTTTTGAAAAATTGATTAAACTAATTGAAAAATTTTATGAAAAGAAGTTATCAAAACATTATGAATTACTTGCATAACGCTCGGTTAATTGCTTAAGGGTTATTCATAGTTTTTCTCAAATTGATGCTACCAAATGGAGGTCTTCTGAACTCTTTCTACCATCTACAATACAAAATGGTCATACAATGTCACAACGTTTACTAAGTAGTTCTGAATTACTTTTTTTTATTTTAAACAACACGCAAAAAATTGGCCTAGCGCTCTACAAAGCACCCGTGTTCATGTCCATAGACCAAAAATGCTAATCATACAATTCCAAAAACTAAGTTTATGAAAAATTTCTAGTCATACAAATTTCGTACATTTTGCTAAAACAGGGTCATCGCAGTTTTGAAGATTTTTTTCTTGTTTCGGCATAAAATTCGGTGTATCGTGTTAAATAAAAAAGAAAAACTTTTTGTCAAAAAAAATCGAATAAAACAATTTCCATATATGCTATATATATCCACATATAGTAAAATTGAAATTGCCCCCTAATTGTTTTTGTGTTTTTTATCAACCGCAAATTGAAATTTGTACTCAAACAAACCTTTTCGAATTTTTTTTTGCATGCAAAGTTTAATTTTTTGTGTGCATAAAATAGTGCTGGATGCACTAACAATGGTTTCCTTTTCGCTTAAGAAGTTTCATCAAAAACGCTAAAAACTCCTCTTCGTTTGTGTGGCATGTTTATGCATGCCTTGTCCATTGTCCGACAATTTAAAAAATCAAATTTTATAAACAATCATTGTTGGAAGCTTTCGCCAAAATTTGAAATTTTGAGACTTTCGTTATATTATTCGTGCAAGACAGAAGTTAGACATGTGAGGCCGTTTTGAATGCAATTTTAATGCGAGACGGTGAAACGTTTGATCACTCTACGTTTGAGTAACCAAGGTTTCTGTCACTTGTGTTCTGTTACGAACACAGCCAAAAAGTTTTGAGAAATTAAAATGTCAAAAATCAGTATTGTTGGCTCATGGAAAAATGCTAGACATACAGTTTCCATAAACAAAAATCATTTATCATTAACCTTTCATGCAATTTTCTGTACTTATGGAATTGCATGAAAAGTGAATGATTAGCATTTTTCCATATATGAAAATTGTATGATTATCATTTTTGGTCAAACCGGGCACCCACCCAAAACTTCGTATGAAAGTTTTCGGCAAATTTTTATCTTTTACAGGAGTCTTTTAGCGTTTAGTTAAGTTAGCGGTTGTAAAGTAAATTAAGTCAATGTAAAAGTGTGTCAAAAATCCGTCCCATCCCTCACCTATAACGAAAAGATTTAAGTGCACAAGACATGCAGTGGGAAACTGTTTGTCATTGTTGTTTTTGAAAGTATCTTTCTTACTATTATGGCATTTCTTCCTTTGATTGTCTGAAAAAAAAACCTTTAGAAGAAGGACCGCTGTGTTTTTGCCTCCGAGATTGGAATGGAGCCAAGAAGTTGGTTACTTTGTAATATTACTACTGCTCATAAGATCCAGAATAACCGCTTCTTGATTTGTTTTGGCACCTACTCTTAAAATAAAGCCGTTTTGGATACCAAATCCGTAAATTAATCAAAACATTTCCTCATTCTTGAGAATAATTTCAAAACAACCGCTTACGTGCGTTTACATATGATCAAAAATTAATCGGTAATATTTTTTTTTCATTGTAGTAATAACAAATCTTCAATCGCATTTTTTGGCAATTTTTTAACTTATTCTGAATTCTTAACTAATTTCAAAATGGTCATTAAAGCAAAATTGGTTCCTACAAATACTAATAACCCATGGGCGTACAAAAGATACATTGCTCGAAGCAACAGGCATGCTTGGAAAACTCGCCGACAGGGAGCTGAAACTGAGGGCTGCTCGTCGGTTTGCAGAAACTGCCCTCTTTGCAACGGGCGAAGATTTCAAGGCTACTTCGTTGATGGAAATCCGCGTTATTTTTTCAATACCGCTACTCGAATGCCCGCGAACTCGCTCGGAAATTTGTCGGGAGCACGAGCAGATCAGTATTCGCACATTCCGCCGAAAGTGGACACAGGGCAACCGGCGAGACTGGAGTTGCCGCCTATAAAACGGAGATATGGCCGAAGGGGAAACAACCGTACGAACCCGGCAGATTTTCCATTCGGGTCAACAGTTCCGAGAGACAAAATGGTCGGGTACGTCGGACACCTCGGCTTGCGGCACCCGAAAGAACGCGAGTACCAGGCGAAAAAGTTCCAGATCATCCCGGACAAGGAGCCGGACGTCTCGCTAGAAATAATGGTGAATGATATAAGCAAAATGACCGTGGCATCTTTGCTCGAGGAAATCGAGGCACAAATAGGATACGGTTCACTTTTCCAGGAAAAGCTGAAGAAAGTATTCACACTTGAAAACCAGGAAGTGAAGAGTATCAAACAGCTTTTCAGCTCTGATGATGTAGTACTGGTGGGATCGGCCAAAGAAAAGATCGCAGATGCCACTTTGAAAGCTATAAAGAAAATATTAGCAGGCGAAACGGCAGTTCAGATGTCGGCTGCCGTAAAAGGGGAGAATTCGAACAAAACAGACAGTGGATTCAGCGACTACGATTTGAACTCAGAGTCAGGAATTCAAGGGGTGTCGAGACGTTCACGTGACAGTCTAGACGTTAACATAGGTTTAATGATTCGAGATGAACTCGCATCCACCCGTGAAAAGAAAGCCAAAGAAGGTCAAAGATCAAAATCAGAGCCAAGAGCCGATAATAAGAATGTCATTCCGTTTTGGTTGAAAGAGAAAGTTGACGTAACCAGGAATGAGAACTTGAATGGGTCTGGAAAAGACTGGCTTACAGATTCCATGACTCGCGATGAGTTATACATGGGTCAAGGAGCGGATCAAAGAATAAATCAAAAAGTTCGAAAATGTGAGCTGAGCGAAAGAGAAAGAAGAAATCAAGAAATAAAATTCGGTTTGAAAGGTCGAGCAAGAGTTTTTAATCATTCGGTTGTTTTGCTAGAAGCAGAGTTGAAAAAGTACTCTTCGCCGTCTCCAAAAATGGATCTTGTTTTGTCTCCAAGACTGGATCAACTTCACCGAGATGCAGAAAACCAGGAGCGAAAACGACGAAAAGCAGAACACGACAAGATGCTGCTGGACAAACGTCGACAACAGCATTTCACAGCGGCTCAGCAAATGAAGAAACGTCATCGTGCAAGTTCCAACCCACCTTCTCAGTCGCGAATGTTCTTGAGTCCCGCCGACGCCGAGCTCCAACTGGCCCAAGAGGCCGAAAAACAACGACAAAAGGAGGAAAAACTGGCATCTCGAAACAAGAAACATGGGATGAAAGCCGAGGACGAAGCTGAAAGACGAATGAAAATGAAAGAGCAGACTGAGATGATTCGTCGACAGGCCGAAGCTGAAGAACGACAGCGAATGAAAGATAAACGAAGACGAGAGCAAGAGGAGAGAGAAAGGCTAGCCAAACTGGACGAGGAAGAAGCAGAAAAACGTAAGAGAAATCGAGAAGCCGAGTTGGCCGAGGAAGCTCGGAAAGCCGAAGAAGCTCGGAAAGCAGAAGAAGATCGCAAAGCCCAAGAAGCCCGTCGTAAAGCGGAAGAAGATAGGAAAGCCGAGGAAGCTCGGAAAGCCGAAGAAGCTCGGAAAGCCGAAGAAGCTCGGAAAGCCGAAGAAGCTCAGAAGGCAGAAGATGCCCGGCGTAAAGCCGAAGAGGCTCGAAAAGCCGAAGAAGCTCGGAAAGCCGAAGAAGCTCGGAAAGCCGAAGAAGCTCGGAAAGCCGAAGAAGCTCGGAAAGCCGAAGAAGCTCGTCGTAAAGCAGAAGAAGAAAAAAGGAAGAAAGAGGAAAAAGATCGATTGGCAAAAGAAGCGGAAGAGCGTGAAAAAGCTGAAAAAGAGCGTGAAAAAACACGTGAAATGGGAGTTATTCAACCAATGGTTCAAGAAGAGGAAGTTAAGCGCAGGTTTAAAATCAGGGAGAAAATTGGCGAAGGCGCATTTGCAACAGTATTTAATGCTGAACTAATAGATGGAGATCCGCCTGGTCTAGCAGCCCCCGACTGCAGAGAATTCGCTCTGAAAGTTATGGACAAACAGAAAATAGCCAGCAACGTGGACAACGTGAAAGAAGAAATCAAAATCCATTCAAAGTGTGACCACCCAAATATTGCCAAACTGTATGAAGTGTTCGAAACTCCTACCCGTATTTACATGGTTATGGAGAAAGTACCGGGAGGCGATTTGTTCGATGCGATTGCCGAAAGTGTCAAGTTTGATGAACCCCAGACGGCTTTGATAGTCAGATCTCTCGCTGAAGCTTTGCTGTACCTGCACTCTAAAGGCAAGTTTTTCATAACTCTTAATATTCAGTTTGTTAAACTGACTCATCAAATGATAATGAATAGATCAAATTCTCATAAACTAGAATTTACTTTGATTGAAAAACATAATTTTTGTTTCAGAAATTGTTCACCGTGACATCAAACCCGAAAACATATTGGTCGAGAAAGACTCGTCGGGTCGCATTAAACGAGTAAAACTTTGTGACTTTGGCCTGGCAACTGTCGCAAAGAAGAAAATATTTGCTGTCTGTGGAACCCCGACTTACGTCGCACCCGAAATACTAGCCGAGAAGGGATATGGTCTCGATGTTGATAACTGGGCGGTCGGGGTTATAGCTTATATTCTACTTTGTGGGTTCCCTCCTTTTCGCAGTTTGGAGAGAAATCAGGACGAACTTTTCGACACAATTCAGAGAGGAGAGTTTGAGTATCTCTCCCCGTATTGGGACACTGTTACAGACAGTGCCAGGGATTTGATTGACAATTTGATCGAAGTGTCCATCCCAAAGCGCATGCAACCCAAGGATATTTTGAAGCACAAATTCGTAATGGACAAGAACTCATGAAAAATTAGTTATTTATAACATTTAATTAAAAGATAATCGGCACTTCTAAAAAAAGATGAAAAGCGCAGTTTTTGAAACTGGCGGTTAAATGAAATGTAAAACATGCTTAAATGCAGTAAATGGAACCATTAAACGCTATACGAAGCTTAGATATAGTTTTTTTTACACCATTTATCATTTTTGTTTCAATAAAATTAACCAAGTCAAATAAATTCAGAACTTGTCATTGAGGTTTCGAAGGAGCTTCAGAATACAGAGCAAGCCTGGGTTGCTCTCGCAGGAAAGTTGGTTTTGCATAATTGAGATATCAATCTAAACATAACAGCTTGTATAATGGGCAACTACTGAATAATCTTTCTGACCTCGTATTTGAGAAAGAAGGATGAAATTTTTTTTTAGAAATTTGTGTCTATTAACTTTTTGGAAAATAGTGTGTCTATTAATACAAAATTTGGATCAACTGGCCTGTGGCCTGTTTTTTGCGACTTTTGAAGCATGAATTAAATACTGGTGCCCGGTGTGGTTTTTTTTCTCAAGACATATTTCGACTTCCTAATTATCATATATTTGAGCCCAAGACACCGATACTATTCAGAGCGTATAAAAACCTCAATCTAAAAAGACTAGTTGAATAATTAGAACTTGTCTGAAAGAGAAAAACACTCAACGAGAAAAAACCTCAATTATTCCATCATTTCTTCAAAAGTTGGGAAAAAATCGACGAACTGATCCAAGTTTTCAAAAATTGAAGCAATAAGTGTTAGACAAGATCGTGTGAACAAAATCGTGTGAATAAATAACGTGTGACCAAAATCAGGAAAAAAGCAATTCTTGATTTTCCCTAAAAAATAGTTCCAAATTTCCCCCAATTTTCGGAGGTCTGGTAAATGTTGGAGGACGGGTAAAAATCCCAAACTTTTTGGAAACATAGAAGCAAAAAAATGAAACATTTGACAATTTTTGGATATTTTTTTCAGATTCAAAATTTATCATTTGGTTGGGTATTCGAGTTAACACTTTTAGAAGCAGGCATAATATAAAGATATATTTTCAAAATTAAAATGAAAATTTTGAGAGTCAACAGATTTTGTGTCAGGATGTTCGCGATTTCAGACAAAATATTCAATCTGAAGGAAAATAGATTTCATCTATACAAAAGTAATCGAAACGAAGTTTCAGAATAGAACAAGATTACTCCTATCATGGCAAATCACAGAAAGTTCTGATTGCTCAATAGAGTCAACAAAAGAAATCATTTTTTGGAAAATACAAAAATTGGTAACAAAATTTGAAAAAAAACAGAAAAAATCCAATATTTTCAATTTTTTGGGAATCTTGCCCCATACGCTTTGTAGAATACTAAGTTAGATAATTCGCACTAGTTAATCTAGAAATAAATAATTGTTGCGAAATATTTGCCTCAAATCAAATTGTAACAATTTCTGAGTCGGATTAAATAGTAACTTACGCTTCAAAGGAAACAAATTGTATATCGATTTAATTGTCCATAGTTTTAAAAATTGGAGTTTACGGAAACAATCACATGTGATATAAATATTGTATTGAGCGCAAAACATTTTTATTTTTCCGTTGCTATGAAATACTCTGCTCAAAACGGGTTTACTTGACACATAAGCAAGCGAATCGAAAGTTAAACCAACCCTCTTTTTTGACCTTCTTTTATTTTCTATAACCCAAGTGCTCGAAAAGCTCATAATTCAATAATTTTAAATCCATTTCTTTGATTAAACAAACAACGATAAGTTTAACATAGAAATTCATATCTCCTTTAAAGCAAGAAAAACAAGACGCGTTGAAAACGACGCAAAATTTATCAGACCGGCTAAAACATACTTTTATTTATTTGTGCTTGACTAATATTGGACATTTGTAACCTAATCTTATTAAAAAACTTAAAACACAATTTGAGGTCAAAAATTTAAAAATTTTATGGGACTAAAAATGATAATTTTTTCAACTGCAACCCGAAACTTTAGACTAATAGACTAAGCAAAACTCAGGGTATCGAGACCAAGCCCTGAAAAATCCCACTGCCATCTGAGGTCGCGTTTTTGAGTGTTAACGTTCAAGTTTTTTAACAGCTACGTCACAATTTTCTTTCCAATGAGGCAGCAATCAAAGCACAACAAATTAACTTTTAGCAAAAACAATCACATGTAAAACTTTTCAGGTATAATCACATGTAATCTTTTTTCAGATAATAAAAAAAACAGTTTAATCAAAACTTCCCCGTATAATTGATTTCAAGGGACAAAAAATTTAAAATTTCTGAACCTCGAGAAAAATGACGTAAGAAGATCGGGTTGAATTTTTTCTTCCAAGCAAACTGTTTTCGATTAATAAAAGAAAATTCTAGAAAATTTTAAATCAGTTTTTTTTTTGCTCAGCAGTGATAATCATTTTATTTCAAAATTTTAACGCAAAATGCGTTCAATAATTCGACTGTCTAATACCCAAAAAATGTTTGAAGCAGCAAATTTGATTAGTTGAAATCAATGAAAACAATTTAGTTGTTTGTTGTTTTGATTTTTTTCTGCTGCAAAAGTGAACCCATATTGATTACAGAGACGTTTAGTTCGAGCTGAAAAAGAAAAAAAAACAACTTTGTTTAATAGAAAGGGCAACATTACAACATATGCAACTAAAATTCATCTGAAATTTAGTTCAATGAGCTGATTTATTCAACAGTTCAACCAACCAACAGTTCATAAAAGTAGCTGGTAATACGCAACGGTTTGGTCATGAGCCTATGCCGGTGGCATTTGAAAACTTTGGAAATAGAGCAACTTTATGAGATTTTCCCCTCGTTAATAATTTAGCTGTTTTTAAACGAACTATCCCCTCTAAATCCTAACTGGATACAAAATTGAAATTGATTTTCTTTGCGGCATTTTATTTTTTAAGCATTTTTACTTTTTGAAAATGTTTACGCTGATTTTGATATGGCGGTTAAATGAAAAGTAAAAAATGCACAAATTCCCTAAATGGAACCACCACTCGCCATACAAAGCTAAAAAATAGTCTTTTTTCAACATTTAATCATTTTTGTTTCTTTAAAACTAACCAAGTCCTAAAATTTAGCAAAACTTAACTGATGTAAATTTGTCAAGTATTGCTTAATTCAGATTTCAATCTAAACAAGACTGCTTGTATCAGGCAAAGTTATTTAAAATTCTTCCGATTTAAAGAAAAAAGATAAAACATTTGTACTCTGGGTGGTTTCTGTTGAGAAAGATGTGTTCTTTCAATTGAAACATCAATCAAATCATCTTTCAACTCAAAGCACCAAAACAATTCAGATCGTATGAAAATTTCAATCGAAAAAGTCTAATTAAAAAATTGAAACTCGTCAGAAAGTTAGAAACTTGAGCTCAAACTTTCGTTCTTTTCTTCAAAAGTCGGAATGATCAAATTGGCCAAATTATCCAATAGTTGAAAAATTGGAACAATAGTAGCTACAGAAGATAATCTTTCCACAATTTGGAAAGTGGGTAAAAGGCAAAAAAAATATTTGCCAAGTTTTTGAAAATCTAGAAGCAAAAAGGGATATTTTTTCGTTTTTTTTTCCATATTCGAAATTTGTCGATTGGGGTAGGTAGTTGAGTGAGAGTTTTAAAAGCAGGCTTAATTTAATTAATTACCTTCAAAATCAGATTGAAATTGTAGTTTAATTTTATTAGTGTGTATAATGCTAGATTTATTGACGTCAACTGATTTTGTGTTAGGATGAACACTATTTTAGACAATACATGCATCTCACGGAGAACAGGTGTCGTCTATGCGATAGTAGTTCAAATTAAAGTTCAGATATCAAAAAAATTTCCAATCATGATTTTTAAAACAAGCTGGGATGAAAATGGTGCAAAACTTATCAGAGTAGCAAATACATGCGATTATTTCTTTTTTTATGGCTGACTAAAGCTGAAGAGTTTCAACCTAAACCTGGAAAAAATATTAAAAACACAATTTTTTAATCAAATTCTAATAATCAAAACAATTGAATTCAAAAACTTGGAACAATTTTTTTTTCAATAATTTGACTGTCTAATGCCCAAATTTTTTTGAAGCAGCAACTTTGAATAGTTTAACTTGCTTATTTTGATTTTTTTTCTGCTGCAAAAATCAATTCAAATTGATTACAGTGACGTACAAAATAAGCTAATTTAGAAAAAAGTAACTAAATTTACTTGAAAAAAGAGTAACAGAATAACATGTGAAACTAAAAATCATGCATCTAAACATTTTGCCACAGAGTTCAATCAATCGCATTTTAAAAAAAAAATGTGAGTTTGCATTAGTACGATCATGAACCTATTACGGCGGCATTGAAATACTATTGATAAGCGTGACTTGCTATCTAAACATTATATTTTTACATTGCTAGTCAGTTAATTGTTCCAAACTGTGAGGAAGATATTTGCACGGGTGTTTTTTTTATTCGAATCGATTTTAGAAAATTTGAATGCTTATGGCATCGATCCGTAAATCTTTTGATTTCCAAGCGAGTATGCTTGCACTAGACTAAAGTGGGGCTTGACTGCTGGAATATTACTTTGATATATTGTTTCAATGCGCGAACTTTTTATGCGTGCCAAATTATCGAAGTTGTTCCAAATTGAATTGAGGCTGGTTAGTTGGTCTTATTATTTCCATAAACGACTCAAATTTAATATTATCAGCCTAAAATTCATAGCTTGTCAAAAAAACGTTTACCAAAAATTGTTCCAGACTAATTAACGGGCAGTCGGAACATTCTGGGCTTTTCCCTGATATGAGCAGTCTTGTTATGTTTAATCGAACTATCCAGTCTAAATCCTAATTATAATCTTATTTTTGGATCGGTTTGCTTCGCGGCAAGCGATTTATTAAGCAGTGTTACCTTTTTGAAGATTTTTTAAATTGTTGTAATTAATAATTGCTGGAATCATATTCTCAAATTTAGTCATTTGGCTAAACAAAATTGTTGGAAAATAAATTTGGGTGATTAAAAAGAGGGACGACCCTTTGAAAAAACGGCAATAGCAATTATGGTGAAGGATAAGAACATGACAAGGGAGGAAGGGTGAAGATCAAACTTCAATTCTGGTTGCCAAAAGTCTCTCAGAGGTCATTCTTTTCGTTATTTTTTTGAGAAAACTTCTTTTTCGCTGGCCTGATCTAATTAATGAGTCAAAGGGTAAAAAAAGCGATGTTTTGTCTAATTTTTTTCTAAAAGTGTTTAAAAGAGAGAGAAGCACTACATTGTTGCATCAACTTTTGCGGTTGAAACAATGATTGCATATGAAACAAGTGTACATTATCAGAATATGAGAAAAAAAAACGTTTCAACAGTCGATGAACAAACTGGCATTCTGTTGGGTGTTTAACAGACTCTGTTGGGTATTTAGCAAACCAATAGCAGAGTCTATTCTCTCTGATCAAGTTTTTTTAAACTTTAATGATGTACGGGTTTTCGTCATAGACATGAGTCAGTGAATACCCATGTTGTTAAAAATTTCTTTTGATGTAAATACGGATGACATCTGAAAGAAATCAGTTTTTAACAACCCAGGCAGGAGAAACGAATGGGTGCAATTACTAGATCCTTTGTAGATTTTTTGGGCAATTATTCAAAACTTAAATGGCTTAAAACAAGAGCATTGAGTAGAAAACTCTGGTTCGTAGAAATAATCATTTCGTATGCATTTGTAGATTTGGATTGCAACAGCCATCTTTTGCAATAATTTTTTTTTTATTTAAGAAAAAAAAAAATTTCCATCTAATTTACATCTAAGAGTTTTTTTGTAGGGCAGAAGAAATGATCGAATGAAATTTATATAAAATTATGAACCAGTTATTTGAAAAGAACTTCTGAGATTTTTCTGAGTTTGTACTCAATGTTTGGATTTGCGGACTCATGATTCGAAATTTAGCAGTAAGGAAACTTAGCAGTATTGTATCATCGGCGTACTGTTCAAGAGCAGTTGGATTGTCTAGAGTTTCTGGCGCGTATCATGTACAAATTAAGATGAATTTTGGAAATCCAAGTATAGCACGCTGAATAGTACCGTGCTTAGCCAATCAGAAGATGCATCATTATGATATCTAACTGCTGTCTGTTTTTTAGAATCCAGTTTACTATATTAGCGTGTGATCAATGAAAATTGCAGCCTCTACGTCGAAATGAAACTTATTTTTAAAATGTCTATTGAAGAGCACTATTGGTCAATTTTTAGGCCCAGTTCTGAATTCTTTGGGGCTAGGTACAAAATGAAGTTGATTTTGTAGAGATAAAATGACTTTTTTTCTTAAAAGAAAATAAATCAAACGATGTTAAGGAAATGGTTGGTAGATGGTTGAACCGGCTGTAGCTTGTTTTTTGTAATGTGTTACTTTTTATGTTTTCTGAGATTTTATCCCTCAAGATACATTCGTTGATTATCCTAGTTAAAATACGGGTTTAATATTTGCACACTGTTTTTCAGAAACCAAAACAACATTTTACTGGATCGTAAGTTTTAACAGATGGGAAACAAAAAATTGCTTCAACCTTTTTATTGCAAACAACATGTCAAAATTGAAACTTTTTTTCATATCTTTTGAGAAAGTTAGTTTCAGTGTGCATTGAAATTGGAGGTTTTGTGTTTTTGTAGAACCCTAAAAATGAAAAATTGTAGAGTTAAGAAAAACCTTTGGTTTAATGGCCGTATATCCTTAAAAATTCTTGGTTAAATCGTATGGAATTGGGGTTTAAAATTTTGTGGACTTTTGAAAAGACTGATAACTTTATATTAAACTTGTTTTCAATCTCGAGAAAAAGCAGGTCGATTTCATTGAATTGAGTATCGTTGTATTAAGGTCTTAAATCTATCTGAATTTTTGTTGAAAATTGATTCGAAGTTTCGTGATTGTTATTTCTTGGCGGACAAAAATCACACAACTTGCATCAAGTTGTCACAAAACGATTTGGTCTGTTTTTTTTTCATAATAATTTTTAAAAAATGAAAAAAATTGGTTTCTCTTTTTTGATTTTTAAAACACATTTTCTAAAAAAATTCTGTAATAAATGGTGTTTCTCAAATGGTAGTATAAGCTCTTTTGCTGTAGCTTAATTTCCGGTGGTTGGTGTTTTTCATTCTAAACAAGTTTTTTTTGTGACTTTGAACAATTTCGTTTTCTTTTTCTCAGATTTGCTGGGAAAACGGTTGTTGAACTCTGAAATTTCTCTGAATCAAGTCCTAATTTAACAGTAGGAGCTCTCAAAAAGCTTATCAACTGATTTATGGAGTTCCTTCGTCAAGGATTTGGTGATCTGAGCTCAACATGTTATATTACCTTAATATTGTTCAATTTTCCTTGCAGAAGGACACCAGTATGAATGAATTGTCACGTTTTTGCGTAACCCTTCGTGTCGAAGTTAGTTTGAAAAAGTTGAAAAATTGAACTAATTCAAAAGAAAGTGTATCGACGGGATTTGACTTAGTTGCTTTTAATTTACTCTTTTTCTGTTTGCTCTGATTTCTGGACCATAATTAATAAAAGAAGTTTGTAGGATTTAACAAGATTGTTTATTTGAGGTAAATTTTTTCCATCTAAAGATAGTTTCGAGAATTTATCGGCATCATGAAAAGCATTGGTTTTGATATCGCGTTGAGTGCAAGCAAAAGGAGCCAGAATTATACCACGATTTTTGATAAAATGATGCCAGAATTAGTGCAATAACTATGAAATAGACAGTGCCTAGCTATTTCTACTATTGTTTTTTTTTCAGTCCGGAACCTACTTAATAATTTTATGTACTGAACGCAGAAAAAAATGCTGACTTTGCCCAAAAAAATCTTCAGCGGCACTTGTGATCATTTAGAATTTGGGTGAAATTCAAATAACAAAGTTAAAAAACCAAACGACGGCTCTTTCAAAAATCCATGGAAGACGTAGTTTGAAGGTAGCTATAAATTCTAGATATTGCAATGATAACTGGGTTGACCATCGATTCGAAAAATAGTGCATGTGTTTCTAAATTTCAATTTTGTCATACCTCATTTGGTTTGAATTTAGAAACTACAATGTTGGAATTAAAATTAATGTCGTCCAAATCTGGATATATTATTTTTTTCTATTACTTGGAAATTTTTCAGATCAAATTTTATTTTCCCCATCATGCCTGGAAACAGAAAAATAATTTGCTTTTCGGAAAATCATTAACCAATTCTAAATATATAGACCATTTTTCATGGAAAGACCAATTTTTCTCTAAAAATGTTTTATGACATCTGATGCGCTAAGTTACATCTGGCTCCATGAGAAAATGAGTTTGCTCCTGGGTGACGCCTGGATTGGAAATGACCGAAGTCCAGTGTTCGAATTCGGACACTTCTGTAGAATTCAATCCGAGTCTCACTTGGCCGACAAGCAGGTCACTTCTCAGCTTGCACTTCTGATGAAGCGAAATTTCCAGAGTACAGTCGTGTACATTACGCGGTGAGAATCTGAAGTTGTAGTTTTCTATGAATTGTGGGCTGGCCGAGTTGAGAACGATGGAGGTCTTGTGAACCATAGGTCCCCCCGTCGCTAATGTTTTCGTTTTTTCTTTGTCTTCGAAGATTATCGTGAGATATGTGCCTGAAAAAAACTTGCATCCTGATATTTTCACCGATAAAACCCTTCTTTAGTGTATCAAGGGGGCACTTATAGGGCTTTCTTCATGAGGAAGGGATTTCCAAAAAAAACACTGAAAAATTTTGACAATATTTTATAGACGAGACAAAATTCTCTCATTCGCTTGGAATACCAATAATTCCACATTTAGGTTTTAAAAAAATTTTGCAGACAAGTTTTGCAAAGTTGAAGGCAACAAAGGCTTAATTTTTGCCAAATCAATCAGTACCAATATGTGGTAATAATGAGGCAGAAAGAGCTGAAAAACAATCGGCATATTCTGCTTCAATTTTTTTCTACTCGTTCTAACTGTGGTTTCTGCGATTCGCAGAGGATATATGAAAACAGGGCGGATATATGCCATGACACGGGATAGATTACACGATCTGAAGATCTGACAATTTCAAAATGAACGCCTCGCCATCATGCTAAGTGCCTCCAATTCTACTTATGCTTCATAAATTACCACTTATTGGCACTAAAAACGCGTTTACCAGAAAAATTCGGTCAAAAATGGGTGACGTGAGCTAAAATGAAAAAAAGTCTTTGCTTAGAAGTATGATTGTCCATTTCCTGAGGGTGAAAACAACCCTGCTATCTATAGACTATTTCTCTATTTCATCTCTTCTTCGCAGAGAGACGTATTGCCAAAATTAGATGCACGCATTAATAGAATGACAAAAGCATCAAATGACGTTCTCTCAGGCTTAAGACTGGATTAAAATAGCACAAAAAATCAGTCTTTTTTTCGATTATAAACCTGGAAACAATTTTGGTTTAAGAATTGAACTTTTATGATTTAAGAACTAATTTTTTCCAAAAAAAATTGCAAAAATTTGTATCAAATAATCAAAATACTGATAATAACCATAATAATAATCATAATAATAATCATAATAATCTAAAGATAGCCAACAGACTGATGGAAAAGTGTCGATGAAATCAAGAGAACAGAAAAAAAATACTGACTTATCTTTTGAAAAAATCTCAACTTTCAAATTTCGAATAAAAAAATGACGCTCTTAAAGCTGTTCGACCATCTATATCAAATTATGATCGGCACTGTTTTGATAAAATTAACGCATTTTGAGAAAAGGGGATTAAAATGTAAACACTTTCTTCGAATCTCAATAAGAATAGTCATAATCATAATTAACCTAATGCCCTGAGATTAGATTGGAATTAATTTTTATGTTTTATCAAATAAAAAAATTGTTTCCAATCTAATATAATGGCATTTTATATGAAACAAAAACAAGCATAATTATTGAACAACAAAAGATGTGGAGGATGACGCTATTGGACCTCAACGTCTGTTTTTGACCGCGTCAGGTAGAAAAAATTGAAACTAGCGATATGCGCGCATAGCAAGATATGTAGCTGCTCAAACATTCATATTGTTTGATCGAGTTACAGAAATCAAAAGAAAAATTCTTCACCTGTGCTGGTCTTGAGAACTTTCTTTGGTAGGTCCTGAGCGCTCATATTTGACAACTGCAAGGTGCCGTCACGAGTGAAGCGAAGCGAAAAGTTCAAAGTTCCAATCGTCTGAAATGTAATTCAATTATGATCTTTTTTTAAGTTGAATCTCTTTAGTTTCATCAGACGTCTTAGGTGTCGCTGTAAATGACGCAATTGCGATCATAAACAGTTATTTTGGTCAAAAGACTGCTTAATACTAATTAATGAACTTGAATTCGGCCATAACTTCACAAAATGATAAATCGAGAAAAACTCTGAAAACAGTTTGATACGTTATACCTATAGTACAACATCGATTCTCCGCTCAAATATGAACATCTCATACGCTGTTTTCTCGTTGACAAGTGTCGTGTTTCTCAATAAACTAAACGTATTGTTTAAAAAACACCCCCATTTTTAGCTTTCCAATAACATTATCTCAAAAAAGTACCTTCATCACTGTTTGTTCCTCCAAGGCCAGCCAAAACTTGGTGACTTTGTTGTCTTGAAGCGAGTCCATCTTCAGGTCACAATGTGACAGCACTTTTTTTCTCCTCAAGGCGTTAGATTTGGCCATAAATTTGAGCTTGATAGAAGAGTTGCTAAGCATGTCTTCGGTGATGGCGTAAAAGGTGAACTTTTGGTTGAACGAGGGGTCCTTGATATTTGTGAAGGGAGTGCTCTCTTGTTTCTGCTGCTGGACTGGTTTGGCCGACCTCAGAGACAGTTTGAACACAAAATTGTCATTTGGAAGTAGTTTTCCTTGGAAGGGTGCATCAACATCCCAGGCTAAAAAATAAAATCAGTTCTAGTTTTTTATATATTTTATTTTTCCAATCTTCACAATTTTTAGTACTTTCCAATAAAATCTAAAAAAGAGTGCGCCACATCCAACATCCAATCAAGACTATTTTCATTCTACGTTGAAAGTAAAACATTTTCTCTGCGAATCATATGTTTTTATTTTCTATCTTGCTCAATTTTGTTTCAGGTGATTTTGTTTGAGACAGCTGGAAAAGAAGTAAAATATGGTTGTTCCTTTTCTATCTGTTTGATTTTAATGCATAACGTTCATTTTAAATTTTAATTTTAATAAATAATGTAAAATTTAAGAAAAAAACAGTCCCAAGGCAATTTTGTAAGTGTAATCCATCAAGGGAAGGTTTTGTTGCGGATTCCACGAGATAACCTTCTTTCCTTTTTTGGTGGAGTTTTAGTTTTTAGTGGTTTAGTTTTTTAGCGGCTTAGTTTTTTAGCGGTTAGTTTTTTCGGTGGAATTGGTGCGGAATAACCACAGCGCCTTTTGGATTAAATTGATTATAATTAGTAATTAAATTCAAACTATTTCGAAAATTTTGGTTTCGCAGGTGAAGAATTATTGGTCTGGCAGGGGAAAACTGAATGTTACATGCATGAAAACTATTCCTTCTCTCTCACCCTTATGATATCTAGTAATTACTATCCACCCATTTTATTCAATAATTCAACTCTTAACCATATGCGAATAATTTACCTGGTAGCGTAATTTTACTCATTTGCAAAATTGACTTTCAAATCTTTTACGTTTTGGCAACCAGAAAAAGATGCCAAAAACACCTAAAAACTGGTTTTTGAAAAGTTTCGGCAATCATAATTAAGGGAGGAAAACCGAACGCAATAACAATAACAGAAAAATTAGGAACTATCGCATTGCATTTTTCACACCCCAATAATTTCACAAATAAATTTTTAGAGTTTGAATGCTTACAAGACGACCAAGTATAATCAGCAAAATTAATTTGTTTACTATGCAAAATTTTATTCCAGTATGGCAATATCAAAATAGTTAGCAAATTTGTTTTTTTTATTTATTCTGTTTTACCATTTAGGACGTTGACTGTTAGTTTCATGGACTCCCTGCTCCAAAGTGCCTCAACCTCCACGAAGCCCAATTCGGGGCTGGGCGGGTCGAAGGAGGAGCGCCGACTGCTGCAGGCCGAACAGCACTGGGAGCTGGAACCAGAGGGCAGTTTCTGGAGCGAGCAGAACTGGTGGGCAGCAGCCAGAGTGTTGTTGGTACCGGAACTGCACCGGAACGGACTGAGAAATCCGCTAAGGGTCTTACCTGGTAGAGTAAAAAGTATTTCAGAGAAATTCAGACGGTTTTCAATTAAGTAATAAATTCTTACAATTTTGAAAAAAAAAGTTTGTGTAGGTAAGAAACATAGTTTACAGAATTTACAATGAATAATACATGAATTAGTAAAAAAAAAAGAATTCAGAAAAATTAATTATTTGGCAGAGGCCTATAATCACTACCAGAGGCGGATTTAGGGAGGAGGGGGATGGACGTTCTCTCTTCAGGTATTCGACCCCCTGCCGACCCAAAGGCACACCCCTTTGTACTATTTTGAGACATCCCTATTTGGTAACTGACCCTAAAAATTTTCTTAAGGCGCCTTCTGCGCCAATATATACTATTTTTGAGGGGGGAGCGCGTGCCAAAAAAGCGCAATTTTTTTGGTCAAAATTTTTCAAAAACTGTCTAAAAACGCCAGTTTAGGCCTGTTTTTCAATATTTTGCCTGCGGCGCAGAAAATTTGACCAAAATAGGGTCTTTTTAATGCTTCAATAGAGCTCGGAAAATCAATTTGGTCGACCTAAAAAAAATTTCGTACCCCCCCCCCCCCTCTCGAGAAAATCCGCCCCTGATCACTAGCTCACTAAGGGTAAAAACCATGAGAGGTGCTTGGGTGCTACAAAATCTTCCAAATTTTTGTAAGGATTTTTGTATCACGACAGCTCGCAACAAAAGACAAGTCGCAAAAATAAACAAATCGTATAATATTTACCACTTGATACAACTCGCAAAGTGTGGTAACTCGCAACAAACTCATAAAATAATCAGCTTATTACCCCTTAAATAAAACCTTTAATTTAAGGGGTAATCTATACTTTTGACAAATCTTAGACTTACTATAAGACATAAATTGTAAATATAACGTATAATGTAAAATAATAGTTGATGGAGTAACGAGTAACCCACCGACATGTCCTGGTTCAAACATGCTGATCTTTCTGGCATTGGGTCCGTTCACCAGCTGGTTCTTGTCTCCTTGTTGTGGAGAAGAGGAAGGGGAGTTGAGCTCCCCGAAGGAGTTGATGCTCCCTTGGTCACCGCCGCCATGGCCACCCCCACTACAGCCGCAACAGGAGAGGTCCACGGAAGACAGGGCGCGGGTGGTTGAGGTACTCTTGCGGCGACGCCTCATCGATTTCTTGTTGCGACACTAAACACACACGCTCTAATAATTCAAGAGCAATACAATGCATTTCTCAACTCAGAAAATGACCAAAAAAATTGCACCTCTTGATCGAATGTTTTTTTTTGTAAGTGTATTCCAATTTAGATCAGTTTTTTTTAAAAATCGGATATCCACGCTGCGAGTTTTTTCTGGACATGTTGGCCATGTTGCTGTATCAAAAAAAAACATAAACTCGATAAAGACATGGGAAAGTAGAAACAAATATTTCGTTAAGTACTCGTGAGTAGCCGGGTCGAGGTCGTGCTTTCAAGTTCAGACCATGGGGACCCAAACTTGGTGTGTTCACTCAGAGCGATATCTAAGAAGTCAGGTTTGAACACGAGTGGATCGAATCAATTCGGTTTGAAACTATGCAATTCTGAATACAAGACCAGGACCTCGGTAAAACTGCTGCTGAATATCAAAGATAGCCTTTTTTTCTTATCAACCCATCTCTTAGATACACTTTCGAGCAGCGATTCGATGTATATGTTTATGTAAGAGTACACTCAAGATTGCTAAAAAACGATGACCCAAGGCCTTCAACTTCAGATAGTAAATTTAAACATCTATAAGTTTTTCTTAGATAGTAAAGAAGTATCAAACTAACCGCACTCTCGAAGTAGTTGGAAACATTTGACACGCGTCTTGAGTCTCTCCTACTAGAAGAGCTCGGACAAGCCTGATTTCCACTTCCACCACCGGCCCCGCCCGAGTTCGATCCTGAGGCACCGCCCGCTGACATGCTGTTCCGGGGCGAATCGCCAGGCACAATGACATCCACGACACTCTGCTTGCTTCCAGTCTTGGATGACTCACGACTTGGTCCGACTTGTGAGACGCTGAAATTTGTGCAGATAATTTTTTAAAATTTAATTTCAATTTTTGCATATGTAAGAGCAAACGCTTGTGAAGGATTTCCTTCTAAGGGAGGGCAAGGGTCGTGTTTCTAAAAAAACATCGAATTTTTTGAGCGATGCACCATTTTGATATTTTACAACTTACGAATACAATTTCTTGGTCGAATTCGAACAAAATTCTTCAGCTGGAGTACAATCGGCTAAGCTACCCGCCCGTACCGAGAAAATCTTTTATTTCGGACCTGGAACACTTTATACTAATCTATTTTTCTGGTCAGAAATTCTTTGTGAAATGTTTAAATAAAACAAGGATTTTCTTAAAATTCTTTATTTCTAATCTTACTTCTGATCAGAAATTAGCTAAATCTAGACTATTTGTAGCTAAAAAAAATGGTCTCGTGCTGGCGCTCGAACTCACAGCCTGCCATTGGTTAGTCGGTTGTACTAACTGCTTGGCCACATGACCTGATACTGAATTATTGATAGTTTTAGCAATCTAATGCAAAGCAACACTTGTTATACCTAGCCAGTGGAAAACCTTACACTTCCTGCCAGAAACTTGAGGGGTCCAGGGCAATCCTGGAGTTCCTCGAAGTTACACTTACCAGGAACAGCTCCAGGAAACCACTTAAGGAAATCAAAGGGTTTATCAAAAACATTAGCTAATTGCCAGGTTTGTAGGCATTTGCCAATTTTAAATTTTGCCTAAGAAACCTGGGGTTCCAGCCCTGGTTCCTAGTAAAATTCTTTGAAAACCTGCCCTGGACTCTAAGACCGATCCAGGAAAGCCAGGGTAACCCTAGCAAGACTTTGACCTGATTTTCAATGGCCAGGCCTGGCTCTAGGGATGGACTTCCATGGACAGGTAACCCGGTAGGGTATATGAAAAGTTACCTAAAAAGACTGTACATTTACTGATGCTACCACCGTATGTACAATAACTCAGATGTTCGAAAACAACTGCACGCAAAAAGCACCCAGAATTTAGCCTGAAGATTTTATTGTTAACCATTTTGTTTCATAATATTTTGAAAATGATAGAAACTGGCTGCAAAGCAAGCGATTTCAAAATTGTTTAATTTTTGAAAAGTGTTAGGGAGACAAATCTCGTGAAATGTTTTCTGAGAAATTCTTTGAAAAAAACTGACAAAGTTGATCTATTATTCATTTTCTTTTTATGTCAACACAAATTCAACCAGTTAAAAACTATTTTTAAAACTGTGAATTCCTGCCAGGGTTCCTAGACGGCTTCTTCAAAGAACTCCAGGATTGCCCTGGACCCTTTATGTTCCTGGCAGGAAGTCTAAGGTTTTTTAATGAACTTTTCTCATTCACTATCGAATTTAACAAAAAACCTTTCAAATGATGTGAAAATTTTAACGAAAAAGATTTTTAGCTAGGCTAGAAATAAACTACATCAAGAACAAACATTTTTAATTAGTTTTTCAACTCAAAATTTGGGAAAAAATTGAATTGGAGTTTGGTTTTTTGGAAAAAAAATCAAATGAGTTATTCAAACGGCATTTGGAGGATTTAATATAAACAAAGTTTGGAGTAAAATGACTTTTTAGGACACAAATACTTTAGTAGCTCCGACTATTCCACCAATTATTGCAAAAAAAATCAAATTTTGTGGATTCCACTTACATTTGCGGATTCTACTTACATTTTGCAGAATCCACTAACAGTTGCGGAATCCAGAACAACTAGCTATATTTGCTTGTTGCGGAATCCGCAACAAAACAAATGAGCCGACAAAATTTACGTTACAGGTATATGTATGCGGAATCCACTGAAATTTTGTTTGTGGAATCCACTTAGATTTTGGAACATATTTTAAGACTTGTCTCTGGAATCCAGGAACATATAGACACAAAATTGTGCTCCTATCCAGTGCACAGTTTGGCCTCGTAATGATAATCATTTTCTGAAGCTTTTTCGAGTGAAGGAGTGGAGCGATAGTCAAACAGTACAGTAATCACGTCAGACTTCTGTTCTTAAATTCTAGTCATCTGTCTTCTATCAGTAAGATACCTAATCATCCACTATGGACATTTGTCGCTGTATTTGCATGTCTTTATTTAGCACATGATTGAAACTTTTGCGTAAAAATCGCCAGTAAGAATCGCCACAAAAATTAGCATACACTTCAAAATCAAGGTTATCTCCCTGTCCTAGTCACCTCAGGCTAAGCTCAAAATGTTGCAGCGAATTAGTTTTGAGAAATGAAAAGAAATATAAGGTTGGCTATTAATTAAATCCCACAATGGCAGATTTGGTCCCTCGAGAAATCAGACTGGGGAAATTTGGACTCCGCGAATCTCGCTCAAATCACGTTTCTTAAACAGCCTATGAATTTCTGTCCCCTGGAAAGTAATCCCCCCAAAATAAAGAATAGATTGTTGTCAGGCGGCATGCGGTCTGCAAACAACCTTTCAATCATAATGAGGAAAAATTTTAGGCATTAAAAAGTTGCTCATTGACATTATTTGATAAATAGCTGCTCTTCAAAGCTTTTTGACATTGAATAAACGGCATATTTTTCAAAACAATTCAAATGATTATCATACAAAAAACAACACCATTACCCAGTGTAGACTGTTGAGTTAAATTGAGAAAATGGGTATAAAATTTAGAGCAGACGAAGGCGGAAGGAGACCCCCGGAACCCCTTGAAAAACTAAATGGGCCCGAACTATTTAATCAGCGTGCATCCGCGATTTTTCATAGGTATCAGGGTGTGTTTTGAATTGGTTTTGAGTGGAGCAATCCGGTCACCGCCGCTGACTCTATTTAGAAGGAAATATATATAATAAATCAATTAGCCAAGCTTTTAATATTTAAAAGCCATGGTCTTAAAAGAAATGGGCGCAGGTGAAATATCTTTTTTGTTTTGAGCAAAAAGCATCAACCCTCGTCAGGTTGTTTTAAAAAGGAATCCGTCAAAATGACTTGTTAAAAAGTCAAAATTTGTCTGGAGAAAAAGCTACTTATATTCGCGTAGGCGTTTTCCGAAAAAAAAGTTATCTTAAAGAAGAGCTGCGCACACGGGTATGCATAAAACCTTGAATGTTGCAACTGCAAGTTGAATTTCGTCAAATTTTTTGGTGAAGAGTTTGAAAACATTTTCAAATAATTAATACCATATTTTTCTAAAGTTTTCTAAGAACTCACAGCAACAAAGTTGCTTTATAACTATTTGAAATTCCTGGCGTCTGTCTATCCAAGTTTTGTGTAGACTGACTGACTTGGTTGCTTCTCAATTTAGTATGAAACAAATTCAAGCGCTTATGGATATGAATAAGGGATACAAAAAGCGTATAGGTGAAACCAAAATCTCACGCCAGAAAAAATAATCTAGGATAAATTATCTTTCAGTTATCAGCTTTGACCATCAGCATTTTCAATGTGACACAATACTTCTATGGAAGAAAATTTTCTTTGCGAGTCGAAACTTGTCCGGAGAACAAAACAAAAAAATTAGTTGTTCTCAGACAATTTTTATAAATTGTTTTTATCTGGGGTCAAAACGCACAAAAACTTCGTTATCTGAAATGCTTTTTTCCGAGTTTTATGTTTAAAAAAGAGTAGCATCTTTTTTTTGGAGAGTTTGAATAAAAACATGGCGCCATTTCAAAAATTTAGGTGTCGAAAGCAGAGCTTGCTGTTTTTCGTTTGGAAGAACTGAGAAAACCCTATTTTCGTTAACAATCAATATTCATAATGAGGATAGGTTTCGATTTTTAGGAAAAGGGCGGGTACATTCAATAAAAGTATCACAAATGGTGTTTGTCATTTTTAAAAGGCTTTGATCAATATCAGCTTTGCGCTCGCTCCTGTCTCAAAAATCATGCGTGAAAAAGCTTCTAAAAAACGCTTTTAGCATTGATTATTTGAAAATTGACTTTGCAATTTACTAAGTAAGGGAGACAGAAAAGTGCTGACAATATTTTAATCACCTTGTGAGGGCTCGGCTCGCCCCCTTTAAATCTGCCTCAACCAACTGATAATATCCTTTGGTATAATTTTATTGTTCCGAATTTCGAATGGTTCGTTTTCTCAGACAAAGTTCAATTATTTCAAACAACATTTCAATTATTTTGCTTTTTTTCATAACATGAAATCTATCGATAACCAGGGCTCAAAGGCAAAAAGTCAAATTTTCTATGATCTTCTTTTCCAAAGTTATAATGGTTTGCATTTGGGACTAATTTGACCACTATGATTATAATTGAAATAAATGTTTTTTGAGAGAGCTAGAATTAACCTCCCCGTTTTGGAGAAAAACCTGACTTGAAAAACGTCAATAGAAAATATATTTTTTGAATAGTTGTATTGATATGAGTTGCAAAATGCAGGTTAGGGGGAGCGAAAGCGACCACCAAACCCGCTTCTCAGTTTTTTTCATACTGGTTGCCAAATTGTTTAGTCAAAACCTACTAAATATTTCCCAAAATCATTATGAGTTATATAATATATATTGAATATATTGAACAACTGTAATTAACAGTTTAAATCATTCACTCAAAAGGCAAACCTAACAAAACTGCTCGTATTCAATGAAGCCCAGAATTTTCTGACTGCCTTTTAAAGTCTATGGAGCAATAATAACATGAAAAAATTAAACGTAAAAAAATAAACTGAGAAAAAAACTTTTTTTTTAATTTGAATTTTTAGTCAAAATCATCCCCCACGCCATATAAAGTACAAATTACAGATTTCTTTCCTACTAAAAAATAAATCATGGCAAAAAAACTTGGAACGATTTTTAAGACGGATTAAATCTCCGCGTACGCGTTAATAGCGCGAAATATCGCGTTAATTGCCCAAATTGGCCAAAATGGCAAACACTAAACCCCTACAACTCTATGAAAAATGAGCACAGGTAAAATATCTCTTAAATTTAGGCTCGGGACAATAATAAATTTTGAATGATAAAAAAATTCCGTCAAAAATGGCTTGTTGAAAAGTCGAAATTTGCCAAAAGAAAAAAGCACCCCGAGCACAAATATTCCGTTACTTTCCTTACAAAAGTCGAAACAACAAGAAAACAATTTACCCGTATCGTCTCTTTTGCGTATATTCAAAATTATGAAAAAGTTTGTTTACAGAAGCATCTGCCATCAAAAAATCCTTCTTATGTTTTTGTTTAACGCCATCAATTTTTGGACAAATAACCTTGGTTGAAACTTGCTACAGGCGCCGCGGGAGCCAAACTGGACTAATTTTGATGAGGAGCTCGCGGCAAAAAAACTCAATTTTTTGGTTATAACCTCATAATCTGGGAATTTTTTTAAAAAGTTTCATAAATTTAAAGTTTTCACAAAAATCCGAAATCAACTTTCATTTTTTTTAATTGCGCGGATTATTTGAAGTGAAACAAAAACACAAAAAGACGACATGCTGAATCAGTGAGTAAAAAACTAACCATATTTTGATATTGGGCATAGTTTTCTGCTGAGCAGTTTTTCGGCTATCCCAGCTGTGTCGCCGTACATACAACTGACCGGCATCTTTCACATTTAGCAGGCCCCCCGAGTAATCTGTCGGTTGAACTTGTGCTCCCCCTTTAGCCCCAATTTGAGGATCGGCCGGTAATGAAGTCACGTGACCACTTGTCTGAAAAGAACACTCCACCATTCCTCCTCCTCCCTGCCCCCCGAAGTGGTGTTCAGAAGTGGGCAGGTGTGTTAAGGGGTAGTACTCTATGTTCAGCTCTCCCGGTTGCGTAGTGGCAAAACTGGAGTGCCTGCGGGTCTGAGGCGACGACGGGCTCCTTGAGTGGTCGTGCAATGTCTTTTGAGAAGTGATAGACGATGTAGGACTGAAATTCAAACTCAGTCAAATAAAATTTTTCATTTTCAACCAGCAGAATTAAATTATACCGGTATTCTAAATTCAACTGAATGACCAGAGCCAACATTTGGACCAAAATCTGGTATAGAAGTGCAACCCAGAATACATCATCAAGCAAGCAATTCAGGAAAGGGGCATCAGGAGGCTCGACCGGCGTGACCATTCTTTGCCATTTACAGACGTTTGCATCTAAAAAATCATTTGTGACCAGGATGGAGACAGCGCGGTGAAGATGAATACCGCGTGACCGCCTGAACCTGGAAAATTTCATCGCCGTGTCTGAAAAGTCGAAAAAACTGAACATAAAGTCGCGAAAATCTTGAAAGCCGCAAAACAGTCGGACATACAGTCGCGAAAGACAGAAAAAAATTATATAAACTTTCCCTTTCCAACTATGCAGAATGACCTTGTTTTTTGACCTGCTAATCAACTTGATTTTTAGAGCTCCCCCTCAAAATTCGTATATATTGGCGCAGAAGGCGCCTTTAGAAAAATTTTAGGATACGTCTCCAAAATTGGATATCTCAAAATAGTACAAAGATCCAGACTTTAAGTCCCTTTATGTGCAGCGTTTATGTCCCAATTTTTACTATGTTCAGTCTTTTGCAACTCACGGCGCGACTTTTACCACTTTAGGTCCAGACTTTCCAGACAAAATTTTTCGGCGCCACTATACAATTTGGGTCTGGATCCGGACACGCCGCGACTTTCAAAGTCCCAACACAAGTCTATGATTTCGACCCTGGTTGCGCTAATTTTTCCTGTTCCGTTAAAAAAAAGTTCTAAGCTCCTCACGTCTCCCTCTCAAACATTCAACATTCGTTTCTCAAAAAAGTACTAAAATATCAATTAAACATTTATTACAGGTTATTTTATTAGTTTGAAGAATTTCAAATCGCGCCTGTTGATCGTGAAACTTGGAGCATATGAACAAACTCCCCATATTATACTTTATGGTTGATACAATTATCTTAGTAAAGGGCAATTTTTTCAGCAGGTGGCACGCAGTTGGCTTGCTGCAGAAGTTATCATACTGCAAAAAATCCAGCTTAAGATTTTAATTTAATTTGATGGAGTGATCATTCTCTTGGTTATTTCAAAGCAAAACTGTACGCTTGCGCTCAGAACATGAAATCGTGGGATTTTTTTTGTTTTGATTAGTTTTGATAGATTTTTTCTAAATAAGTCTTACGAATTAAGATTTTGTTATTGCTTCAGAAGTTTTCACCCTTTAATCAAATTTGCCCCAATTTGACCCTCACTAACCCAGCTGCGTGAGTTTTATCTATAGAAGTTGAACTTGTTGTGTTGGACTGACGTACTTACAGTTAGTTAATGGAACTGATGGCAAATGCGATGAAATTACGTGGTAATGTTTTTTGACAGCATTAGTACAGTCACGCAACAAAAAAATGGCAACTTCTGTTTTCACCATCCCAAATTAACAAATGTATTTTTTGAGAATTTCTCTGCAACTGCTCAAGAAGCGGTTTTGAGTTTGTTTACGCTTGGTTCTCCCAACAATTCAAAAGACTCCAGTCGCTTTAATTATTTTTAAAAACTTTCTTCTGCAGACTTTGTTCGGCGACTAATTCATATCTTTTTGAACACATCGTTAACTTGATTTCCGTTGCTACAACAACCGATAAACCAGTATCAAAAAATTGATTTCATAGAAAACTACAAAGAAGGAAGTTAAAACATTAAGAGGCCCAACATCGAAATCCGGCTGAATAATTAGAGTAACTTTGTACTGATGATTTACAAAGAACACAATATTTTTTAATCAACAAGTCAGATTTAAAATTTGAACATAGTGCCAAGGGTCGTGCGTCTTCTCCACAGTACGCAGCTACTTGAGGTGGAAACCCAGCAGACCCAAAGCAAAACAAAACTCTTCATATGAATTATGACTGACCAAAAAACGCCTCCGAAATCAGATGTTTAAATTTTTGATCCAAACAAATCCTTTTAAATAGCATCAAAATTTTTGTAGTTGTAGTGAACGCGGCAAAAAAAATATTTCATTTGACCGGTTGAAAAGAGAAATTTTAACCGGTTTTCACTTGACCGGTTGCAAAGAGAAAACTGAGAAGAGAAAACTTCTTTTTAATGACGCCCCAGTAGCAAATGGTTTTTGTTATTGACAAAAAAGGATCTGGAACTTAACTCTTCCTAGAAAAAACATTATAACGCTTAGGTTTTTAACGGAATTAAAAACCTAACTCTTCCAAAAAAAACATTATAACGCTTAGGTTTTTAACGGAATTAAAAACCTAACTCTTCCAAAAAAAACATTATAACGCTGGGAAACAGTTATTGCTTCGCCTACACGACCAAGCAAATTTATCTTCAAAGTTTTGAAGTGTTGACTTAAGGGTGCTTTTGAACGTTTCAAACAATTTTATCTTGTACCAGCCGTTATTGCTCACTAGTTTTTTCGACCTACAGATTCCAAAACCAGCATTTTTCTCACTGCAGGTTTTAAAGCCTCGGTAACCGTTTTTGATTGCGCAACGCCTACTGACAGAAGTGAATCCAACTTTAGTTAGGTTGATAAGGCTTGAAGTGTTTTAAACTCAATTGAGTGACTAGAGCTACCCTCTGGATGGCAACCTGAGATCGAGATGAAGCCCAGGGAGCATCGCATTTGGCACGATCCGTCAGGCGAGCAATTCAGGAAAGGGACGTAAGGTGGCGCGACCGGTGTGACCATAATTTGCCTTTTCAGATTTATTTTTGCACCTGAAAGATCGTTTTTTTACCAGGATGCAGACAGCGCGACCAAGATGGAGACTTCGTGACCGGCGTGACCTAGCAAAATTCAAAGCCAAAATCTGAAAATACATAAGCAACTGAACAATAAGTTACACGTTTCTTAAAGTTGCGCAAATCTGGAAAGCCGCAAAAGCTTGAATATGCAGTCGCGAAAACCTGGAAAAAAATCCAAAAAGCATTGTCAACGATGCACATTGTTTTTGCTTTTTTTTGGACAAGGTAATAAATATGAGTTTCAGTGCTCCATGAGACTGCTCGGAAAATAAAACCATCTGAAGTTTTTTCAAAAAACACAAAGCTTTTATATTGTTATATCTTTTTCTAGTAAATTAAGAAATTTTTAGTTGGATGCTGTTTCTCGTTTTTAGGATCATTGAAAATTGTTTATCTAGAAATGGATGCATCTTTATGGTCCGACTCTCGCAAAAATATGTCCAGGCTTTTCGAGAATTTCAGTGTGTCAGGCCTGACGCGATTATTGAGCCTTTATGTCCAGACATTCTAGACACAGTCTTTTGGCACCACTATACTATTTGGGACTGAACGCGGATGTGGCGTGACTTTTAAATTCTAAACACAGTTCAGTGATTTCGAACAAGGATGCACTTTTTCTTCTGTTCCGCTAAAAAGTTCCAAATTTCTAACCAATTCGACCCAAACTTATTCAACATTCGTTTCTCAAAAAAGTACTAAAATTTCAATTAAACACAAATTACAGGTTACTTTTTTTTAGTTTGACAATTTTAAATTAAACTTTTCAACTTTAAGTCTGTTGATCGTAATCCTCAGAGCAAATGAAGGAACTTCCCATAAGTCATAAGTTAATTTAGGGATGGTATCATTATAGTATAGTAAAGGGCAATATTTTCAGCAATTGCCAGGCACTTTTAAGTTTATTTCATAGGAGTGATTGTTTGCTTAATTATTTTCGAGAAAAATTGTGAGCATGCGCTTAAAACTTGACAGGGATGAAAAAAAATTTTAAAATAGTTTTTAAGATTTTTTGAACAACTTTTTTAAAATGATACTTATGAAATGTGATTTGGGTACCCCCTCAGAAGTTCTCAATTTTAATCAAACTTGCCCTGTTTTTTCCTCACTAACCTAGCTGCGTGAATTTTATCTATAGTCTAACTACTTATTTGTGTTAACTTTATTTAACTTTGGTACGCTTTCAGTTAGTTATTTAAAACGATGGCAATTTTGATGAAATTACGTGGTAATATTTTTGACCACATTAGGTACAGTCATGTAAGAAAGAAGTAGCAGCTGTTATTTCCACCTTTCCAAATTATCAAATCTAATTTTTAGATTTTTTCTCTGCAAATTCACAAGATGCAGTGTTGAGCTTGTTTCACTCTTGGTTCTCTAAACAATTCGAATGGCTCTAGTCGCATGAAATACACAACAAAAATTAATGTCTCGCAAACTTTGAACTTTTGGTTTTAGTGTGCTTTTGAACGTTTCAAACAACATTATCTCGTACTAGGCGTTATCGTTCCGTGGCGTTTTTGACCTACAGACTTCAAAAGCAGCATTTTATCCACTACAGACCATAAAGCTTTGTTAACGCCTACTAGATAAACTTCAAGTAGGCTGATATGGCTTACGTTGTACAAAGTTCCGCAAAACTAATTAGCTCCAGAATTGTGCGACTTCAATTCGGAAAAAATTTTCTAGCTCTACAGCACAAAACCTGATTTACTTCTATATGTACGCTTTCTCATTTTTAATTTTAAAAAGTTTTTCAATGCGTTTCAATTTTCTAGTCAGTTCAATTTATTGGCAATCATAAAAAAAATACCTAAAAAGTTCAACTCCCAGGCTAATACTCACTACTATTAATTCGTGCTGTCTTATAATAAACATCATTCAAATTGGCTCACCTGACGGGGGTTTTAGTCGAGTTCAGATCCGGAATCATGAAATCGGGAATACTCTTCGGCGTCACAATTAGAGGCCGAGACGCAAAGTTGGTCCGACTCTGCTCGGAAACCGAGAGCGAGGTGGATGCTTGAATCATCTCAATTTTTTACAGTTTGCAACAGCTTCTCAGCAAAAATAGCCGACCAAGTGTGAAAAAAGCAATTTCACGGGTTAATAATTCACGGGTGGTGACGCAGGGCTCTTGGGGGAGTAAAATATGGTGTGTTTAAGTGTACACCACCTCAGGGTATATAGGAACATGTTATGGGCAGATAATGTGAAGGAGTTATAAATTAAACGTCAGTTTGCGCAAGACATCACAAAGTTTCTCAGCCAATTCCGTCTTCAATGAGAACTAGGAAAGCAAATTGGAAAATAGATTTATAACTATGAGCCCAAGGCTGTACCAGGAATGCGACAAATGCTAACTAATATAAATCAATCTTGACGGAAATCAAAAGGGAAATCAGAATTTCAGTTTAGTAGGTACATTTTCATGCAGCAAATTGCAAAAAAAAAAGAACTGGTTGTTTTTTATTCTAATTTTAAACCTAAAGCTGCTGATTCCGTCAAAGGTAGATAGATCTTTGTTTCCTTTTAAGGTAATTTTCATTTACAAATGTGGATAATTTTTTTTATCGAGTTACGGAAAGATAACACTGGTTGGTAAGTATTTGAGGTGAAACTAAGTATTTGTATGCATTGGACAGAAATGGGACGCTGGGCAAAAGTAACTTGAAACTCTAGCTCAAAATTTTTCGCTCGTTAAGACATCTTAACTAATTTTTTATTCAGACTTGAAATCACTGCTCTTTTCACTAAAAGGAGCTGAATTTATTTAGGCCTTCTGATTACTAAATTTTCCCTGTTATTTTAGAGGGCTTTGAATGACTTTAGTTAAAAAAGGGAATATTGAGGGTTAAAATTGCGGGCAAATGTAGACTTAGCAATCTAACAATAATGTACTCTGCTTTATTTTTCTCCCTGATTGAAGCTATGGGATTGTATAACATAAACCCAATTTAAGACGAACTCTTGGCTGGTCGGCGGTGGGCTAAAAATTGATCAGCAATCCAATGAAATAGTTTCTGTCATCTCCAAATGGTCGGCGTCCCGTTGGCTTCTGAGCTGTCTGCTGAAATACGGAAAACAGGGATTAACAGGGCTAACATTTTCCGGCAGAGAATCACCGGTTTTTGTCATCTAGCGTTCCTACTTGAGTAGGAGGCCAATGGTAGTTGCCGTTCTTACCATACTTTATTACATCATTTTATAACCCACCAATTTCAAGCCCGCTCGAGCAGAACGAAAAAATAAAGAGAAATACCCAAGAAATTTATGACCGAGATGAATTTTCAAATTAGATTACATTGGTGGTGACGCTCTGATAAATGGGATGAAAAACGAGCATGCTGAAAGAGAACACCCTTTCTACTCGCGCCCCTCCTTCTAATTGTTATGGATAAATCAGTTTAAGATCTTTAGCGAAGAGGGCGAGAGACGACCATCGAAACACTAACTTTTGGAAAACCATTCAGTGCTACTGTCATTTTAATGCCTGCAATTCATGCCTCATTTTAGAAAATGTAAAATCAACCAAAGTAAAATCATAAGCCAAGGATATGAACAAGATGGTGAGTAGCGTGTCAATTCGTAACAAGCGACAATTTGTAACATGCGACAATTCGTAACAGTAAAATAAGCAGGGAACACTGATTCACGCGCAGTATTCCTCTAGTTCCTCTCGACAATTCGTAACAGGCAACAATTCGTAACAAGCGACAATTCATAACAGTAGATTAAGCGGGAATACCGGTGAGGGAAAATAGGTGATTGAATAGGAATACTGGTGATTGACATTATTTGTCAACAAAATGAATTACAGACAACGAAAAGGAAATTTTTTTTGGCAGAAATTGTAAAACACTTTGGAAAACTTTTTGCCTAGGTAGCGCTGGATTTTTCCATTGAGACAATTTTGACGGAAAGTTTTTCTTATATCATAAAAAAATAATGCCATGATTATTATGAAAATAGAAATTAATACTGGCTCATGGATAACTTTTAAGCGGCTCAGAAGAGATTTCAAATTTTAAAAAATATATATACCCAAAAGCATATATATTGCATTAAATACTTTCTTGAAACGCAAACTGAAAACAAGATGACGTTTTTTTCAAATCAATTAAACCGAAATGTAAGATTAAAGAAAGGTGATGCTCTTATTTTAAAGTTCAGACTTTGAAACTAATGAACTTTTTTTTTGAAATGTCAGGTTAGCTTCTGTTAAAATAAATACAACATTTCTAAGTAATTTTTTTTGTAATCGATTGTAATAAATTTTAGGTAAAGAAGAAAATCATAAAATATTGATCCAGGGGCAAAATTTTCCACACAGTGCTCAAAAACTTCAATGTGCTTTTCAAAAAATTCGCTCTGGCGCAAAATTGGGTCTTAACAGCGTTGCGGCAGCGCTTGAAAAATCAATTTGGGCAATCTAAGAAAAAAAAGACCGACAGAATTTTCGAAAAATAAAAAAAATCCAATCCTCGAGAAAATCCTAGATCCGCCCCTTATTTATTCGAAACTTTTCCAACCTTTAATGCTTTGTAAATAGCATGAGAAAAAACATTGAGGTCCAGTTTGGAGGGGACACTTGGCTACCGTATGGTTCTAGTCAATCTTGATATTTTCGAACGGTGGAAGAAACAATCAAGAGTTGCTTATGAAGTCCCTGTTATGAACGGCCGTGTCTCCTATTGCAACAGAAAACTTCTACTTTAACAGAAGCAATCTATAAAAGAGTCATCACAGTAGAAGATTCCCGTTTGCCAGTCAAAGGTTTCCCACCATCTGTGGTACTTGAAGGTGTTAAAATTTGCCATAATGTTTCTTTTTGCTGTTTGTGATTGTCTCGCCAGTTTTCGTTGATAGCAGTCTTTTTTTAATGTTTAAAACATTAGTTGAAAGCACTCCAAAAAATTCTGGCAACCTGAAGGGGCGTGTATACTATTCGTAATCATCCATATTTGTTCTCATTTCCTGTTTTTTAGTGTTTAATTGGCCACAGAAACATGCCTATATTTCGGTGTACTCAAAAGATTTTGCTAGCTTCTGTGCTAAAATTCAAACAAAAACCTAAAGCGGCCTTCATTTTCGTACACAGCAAATATGATCTCTTGAATTTAAATTTTAAAATAACTAAAAACGACTGAACAACAGTCTACAATTTTTCCGTTCAAGATGTAGACCATAGACTGTAATAACACTTCCAAATCCATTTTTTTTTTAAATTTCATGAACGGCATTCTGTATGCTTCAGCCAGATGCTTGAAACATTTGTTCATCTGCTTTATGATGCCTTATTGATACATCCAAGCCAGCAGGCTATAATTGCCAATTTTAAGCCGCAGTTTAAGTACGTACAAACAAATTAAGTACGCCATTTTTTCCGCAGTTTCAAGTTCTGTCATGATTCAGTTTTTTTCTCTTAATTAAATTAGTCGTTTCATATATAAAACTTTTCAGATTGGATACTAAAGTATGCTAAAAAAACAACTTCTCAAATAATTGCCGCATTGGTTCTGCCTGAAAACGGTTTAAGTTTGCAATCAAATTTACCACAGCTTGTGTTAAGTTTTCGCTTTTCCATTTTGCTCAACCAAACTAATAAAAAATGAAAGAAAGGAACATGGCTTGTGTTTATATACAAAACAAGACTGCAGGTATCAGGGCTTACTTATATCAAATAAAAAGTGCTAAGTTTCGATCCATATATTTATTTTAAATAACCAATTTAATTTGCTCAATTCAATTTTGAACAATTACTACTGCGTGATATAATATTTAGCGTGGGATTTTTTTTTCATGACACTATTCCTTATTGGGTGCACACAATGATTGGGTACGCACGAATGGCTTTTTGATAAATTACCATAATTCAATTATATCGAAGCAAATCAATAACCCAATTGATGGGTACCGAAGTTTTTTGTTTGTTTTCTAGATTATAAATTGCATACCAATTTTTAAGAAATTTTATAACTTTCAAGTAAATTATCTTCTTATTTCAAAATTTTTGGCTTGGTCTTTTTAGACGTCGCGATTCCATAGATGTCGCCGTTCTATATAAACTAGTCAAAATTTACGTTATTTGTGTTGAATAATGCTTGGTTGTCCAAACTGATACATAATTGTGAGATCCGTGTTTTTTTCAGGTAGCTGGTTAACAACATAAGAATTGGTTGAATTTTTATCAATACCAAAAACGAAAGTAATTAGCAATTGTTTGAAAATAAAACAGCCATCTAATGCCGAAAAAAATCAACTGGACAAAAAAATGGCCAGTCAATTTAAACACGGCTGTTACGGAAGTTTTTCATATCAAATGCACCGCCCATCACAGGTATTTCTTTTTGGTTTCTGATGGTCGGCGGGAAACGGTCCACTGTAATAAGGGTAGCCAATATACAGTTGTAAACAAACCATTGAACACAATCAAACCAAACAAGACCGCTCGTATCAAGGCGAAGCCCTGAATCTTCCGACTGCCTTTTAAGGTTTATGGAGCAGTAATAACTTATAAAAAATAGATGTAACAAATTTTAAAAAAATTCTTAAATTTGAAAATTTTTATGAAAATCAACCCCTCACACGCCACATAAAGTACGAAAGGATAGATTTAGTTCCTTGTAACAAATCAATTATGGCAAATAAGCTTCTTTCAACCAATTTGGAACGATTCCGAAGACGGATTAAATCTCCGCTTGCACGTTAAATATATCGCGCGTTAATTGTCCCAAATTAGCCAAAATGGCAATTTTTAAACCCTCATAACTTCACAAAAATTGATCACCGGTGAAATATCTTTTCAAATTTAAGCTGAGTACAACACTACCTTTTGAATGATGTGAAAATAATTCCGTCGAAATTGGATTGTTAAAAAGTCGAAGTTTGTCTGAGGAAAAAAACCCACCGCGAGCACAATTATTCCGTTGTTACATTCGTATCGATAGTCGGAACAAAAAGCGAACTGAGGACACGTTTGATTTTTCACAGTAACAGGTATAGCGTAATTCACGAAATTCCAATGACTGACCTGACATGATTTAACTGACATAATTTGAGAAAAGTGGATCATTGGCGTTTTTTTTACCTCCTTTGGTGATTTTGATTATTAAAATCCACTTTTGAAACAAAAAACATGCTGTTTTTGGCGCCATTTGAAATTTGTTGCTTGAGAGCGGAATTTGATTTGTTTTTGACAAACGAATTTGAATTTAATTTTAAAAGAAATCAAAATTCAAACGTCAAAAAAATTAAATTTGATCCTGAGAACAAAAGAAAAAACCACACGATCTAAATAAGTAATATTTTACATTATGTAGTATATAAACTACAGATAAGTATTGCATCAAAAAATTTTGAGACACAAATTAAGACCTGAAATATCAAGATGAGGACCAACTTCTAGATGCAATATGAACTACTACACATCTGGTGTAAAACAAATGTACAAAACGGAAACAAAACGCGCACAATTGAACGCCAACGTAGTTTTTGTGAGTGTTAGTGCACTACAGGACCAAATTAAGCGCAAATTCATTTTTTTAATCTCTGAAATGCCTATTTTCAATGTCTACACTGAGAAAAATTAAACGCAAATTAACGTTTTTGCTCTCCGACTGGAAAGGATCCGAACTATCCTGTCTGAGGTCTAAGGTTTTGATTTGAAGTACTAACCAGTTTTGGTTAAATGGTTAAAACTTGCACTTTCAAAACCGGAATAAGCTGGTTAGTGCTTTAAATCAGAAATTGATATTTTCAGTGAGGGCAGTTTAGTCGGTTGATGCAATAATTTTGGCAAAATTTGTAAAACAAGGAAAATGTTTTCAAAAATTGTCTTTTAAAATAGGTTGCCCTCAAGAAAAATCTTGTTTTTGTTTTGATTTGTCTATTGGTATATTTTTGACAACATTTTTTTCAATTTTAAGCAAAAATATTGCATGGATCAAGAGCAAGACATCAGAGCTACAATCTATGAAACTATTAACAAAATTTCATTTGGAAGACTTATCAACGTAATCCGGGTCTGAAATAGCCAGTATTCCTCATCTGGATTAAATTTTTCAATCC